GATCAATCTATTTCAAAATGTTATACAAAATACCTTTCCAACGATCTATAGCCTAATATATGTTACACAATAGTGGCTCATAAAAAAATCGACTAGATCTCCATCTGTCGGTTATGTAAAAAGACTTTTTCCTCAACCCAATATAATATATAATTTTCTCTTACATTTCATTTTATTTATTTTTATATATTTATAATTTTATATAATATTTTTTTGTAATATGATAATTTGTCATTTTTAATAATTTATAATTTGCTTTATATAAATATATTATGTAAAATTGCCATAATTTATCAAAATCATAAGTATATAATAAATTTTTATAATCATACAGATAATTTTTATAAAAAACCAATAATTTATTGACAAAGTAGATTCGACACAATTAAAAATTTCAAAATTTTCAAAAAATATAACTAGCTTTATTTAAATAAAATATTCGTAATATACTAAATATAATTAGAATCATATGTAATATGATGATAGTCAAATTTGGAAAACGGATTCGTATTTAGCAAGCAAAAATACAAAATAACTATTCACTGTGACCATTGTCCCTCTATTTGATACTAAAATGTATCTTTCCTTTCTTTTTCGATTAAGAATAAGAGTTAGAAGCATTCCTTTACTTTATAGCGATACACATGTACGCTCTTAGGACATTTTAAAATAACAATGCATGTTTTCCGAAACTAAAAGAGAGACCAAAAGTCCCTTTCCGATATGATAATTATGCGATGACTCGCTAGTCCTAGAATTTTGTATGGATAAGAGTTATAGCGTTTTCGATTTGTTGACTCGATCCGACTCCGAGTCGATGGTCTGTTCTTTTTAGCTATAAAAAAATAGTTAAAGTGTACAAGAAACGTTAAAAAGAACAGATTATTTTGACTCGGAGTCGGATCGAGTCAACAAATCGAAAACGCTATTAGAAGCATTTCTTTACTTTATAACGATACACATGTACACTCGCTCACAGAAAGGTTGCAACCATGGACATAGAAATATAAGGGGACAGAGCACAAAGTCGTAACTTAGGCGAGGAGAGTGAAGCCGAAATGCGGGGGGGAAATTGTGCCCAGTTTACTCTTATTGGGTCCCAGTTCTAGAGATACTCGGTCTATTATATATGTGTGTATCACACGGACACGAGAACTTATGCGCTTGCGCAAACTAACAGCCAATCAAATTTGGACACAATTTACCTCGTCGCACCGTCCCGCAGTGGCTTCACCCCCGTAACTTTGTGCTCTCTGTCCCCTTATATTTCTATGTCCATGGTTGCAACACTTTTTTTAAATCGTTTTCGGAATACAATCTATTTACCGAGCGATTAGTTCCTCCTAATGAATCTAACCAATGTTCAATCGCCCACGAGCAAAACTGCATTCCAAAATTCATCAAAATAAAAAGTGTTGCAACCTTTCTATGAGCGAGTGTACGCTCTTAGGATATTTTAAGATAACAATGCATGCTTTTCTGAAACTAAAAGGGAGACCAAAGTCCCTTTCCGATAATAATGCGATGACTCACTAGCCCTAGAATTTTCCATATCTCTAATTTTTGGGTATAAATATAGGACTCCGACTGCATCAGTTCGTCGAGTCTATCAAGTATAATGTACGTGTTTTGTAACACGCGAGTAAGAAATTATTGTAAGATTTTATGAATCAGCTTATTTTTGAATAAAATTGTTTTTTATAAATTGACATTCTCATGAATCTTACATCATATTCGTGAAACAAAAAAAAAAGGTCAAATTTTGTAGGACGTACAGTGTTATAAAAACAATTGTATATTAGACGGTCTGGCCATTTTTATATTTAAAATTGTTTCATTTTAAGTATAGTCTAGAGGTACATGTCATAAGTCAATCACAAAGTCGTATTAGCATTTTAAGACGGTTTTAAAATAAGAATAGATTATAAATAAATGGCTAAATCGGCCATTATTTGTTAGCAAGATGCATTTAATCACATACTATATATTGTTCAAAAAAATCATTCAGCATTTATATGGTAGATAGTACACTCGCATACTGACAAGTAAGAAAACCTTGTAAACATATATAGGTTGAAAGCTCAACCATTTCTGAGAAATAAACATTTTTCTACATACGTTAGCATTTTGTACGCTAGGCATAAAAATGTCAAACAACAGATAAGCATTTTCATTATCACGACTATGCACAAAATCATATATATTCATATCATTTCTTGGGAGTAATATGTCAACATTTTTATCTCTATCTATATAATCTCTTTGTTTTTATCACAATACCTTATAAACACCATGTGATTACACATTTATAAGATAATATCGTGCTAAAAATGTTGACTCGCAAGAAATATGGCAGATATACATTTTTTGTATGGTGGCATGCTAATGAAAATACTAATTCTGTTGCACGACGTTTTTACGCCTAATGTACAAAATGCTACATACAATAATGTTTATATTTCAGAAACGGTTGAGTTTTCGACCTATATAATATATCTTATATATAGTATACAGGGTATGGCGCTTAATTAAAATAATTGCCACCTAAATAATTTTCGAATGGTTCGAGATATTGAATTAAAATTTATAGGATTACAATGGCATATAAAATCTATTATTTAATCATGAAAATCTAGGGAGAACGGGAGAGAAAGGTTAAATTGAAAATCTTAAATGGCAATGTAGGGTCGATAAAGGCTCGTTTGAAAGGGCTTTTCAAGATGAGAAAAACGTATGCAAGTTTGTTGAGATCTCTATTTTTTTCTGCAGAGTTATGTTCATTTAAACATTGGTGTTATTTAACGCTAGCGAGGCCCACGGCGAGGACGTGAAAAAGATAAGGCGTCTACGACGCGCGCGTGTAAATCACATACTTATCCAACACACACACACACACACACACACACACACACACACGCGCGCGCGCGCGCGCGCGCGCGCGTTTTTATAAGTGTGTATATATATATATGTATATACATATATATAACTTACAAAAACTTGCTAAAATTCGAAATTTGTACTTTAACTCTTTGCAGCACGGTGACATTGTGGAATGCCATCTTTTCCATAACCATTTTCTGTATAACTGGGGTAGTTTTCACTTAATTTTGGAACTTTTTTGTGTATTTTGGTATAAGTTTACATTCAAGAATAAGAATCGATGTGCAATAATTTGAAATCATGAGTGAGTTTTTATACAAATAAACAAACGTTGAAAAATTGCAATTTTTCTGGAGAAAATTCATTATCTACGAAAGTGCTTAGAGTTTTCACGCAAACCCTCAAGGGTTTTTGGGATCGCTGATTACAAATCCGTGGCCAGAATTCTAAAATCAAAGATGGCGGATCTAATATGACGGACCCGAATTCGAAGAACGATGCAAATTTTATGAAAATGTATATCTGGGGCATAGTATAACCAGTAGGTCCACTTCGTGTCGGCACCTTTGATCTCCTTTTCCGGATCACATGAGCATCCACCATTTTAAATCCAGGACCGAATTGAGAAAAGTGCCTCACAAGTAATAAAACAGATAAGTAATAATATATGGATTCGATACAGTAAAACAACAAATTCAATGTGTGATTCGAATAAAATGTTTTATTAGTAACTATTATTCGTAGGAGTGAACACTAAAGAAAATTTTTGATGTAACTGCTTATAAATTGTCTGCACATATGTATGTTGTACAATTCCTATCGTCTTGCATTTCATTGGATCCAACCCAAAACAAAAATTGCGCGGCGATACCTGCGCGAAAACTCAGTTTTTCGCTGAGGGTTGGATCCAATAAAATGCAAGACGATAGGAATATACACACGGGGACATTAATGCCTAGACATCTGAAGTTGCATGCATTTCTAGAGAGACCAATGAGAAGCACGCGTTGGACAGAAAGCGTGCTTCTTATTGGTCTCTCTAGATATGCATGCAACTTCAGATGTCTAGGCATTAATGTCCCCGTGTGTATGTACATACATACATACATACATATGTGCAGACAATTTATAAGCAGTTAAATCAAAAATTTTCTTTAGTGTTCACTCCTACAAATAATTGTTACTAATAAAACATTTTATTCGAATCACACATTGAATTTATTGATTTACTGTATCGAATCCATATATTATTACTTTTCTGTTTTATTACTTGTGAGGCACTTTTCTCAATTCGGTTCTGAATTTAACTAGAGTCCTAGATTATTAGAGAAGCGCGACCGGTGTTACGAGTCCTGATTGGACTCGCAAATGGCCAATCATAAGATTGATTTATCGGTATTATAAATGGCTGCCGAATGAATTAATCTTATGATTGGCCATTCGACGCCATTTTTGCCATAAGTCAGTCGCGCTTTTCTGATAATCTAGGACTCTAGATTTAACATAGTGGATGCTCACGTGATCCGGAAAAGGAGATCAAAGGTGCCGACACGAAGTGTATCTACTGGTTATACTGTGCTTATGCTCTATTATGCATAGATATATAGATTGCTGATACACATTACATTTGTGTATCCAATTGAAAATCGCCATATTAATGAGGAAGTGTCTGCGCATGTGCGCGTTAACTGTCAAGTTAGATTTGATTCAATTTGTTTATGGTTAGAGTTCTTAAAAGAGAGTAGTGCAGATAATTTCAGACGAAATAGATTGCTGATGTTCTATCTCCCACCACAGTATTCTTATCTCCAATTGAATGTCGCCATATTGATGAGAAGTGTCCACGCATGCGTATTAACCGTGTAAAGCGCGTATTTCACACCACAATATTATCTATGCTGTTATGCATTTCATGTGCTCCAGCCCTAAAGTTCAGTGGAGTGAGCAGTCTAGTACATAGAGGTCTGTGCTTTTATACACAGTTAATGATCGATAGGAAAGTAACGTTGGTTGACGTTTAAAATAACGTTTCTTTATCAGATTAATCATGCAATAAAAAAATGATAAATGTAAAAATAAACAATATATACCTATGTAAAACAAACTTAAAATGAGTAATAATATTAAATAGTAACAAATAAGTACAAATAAATATAAAATAGGAATAATTATAGTGTATTCATCATATAACCTCTTAGTGATTAACTTGAATCTATTGACATAACATGTTATAGAATATAATGCCAAAAAATACTAAAAGATTGACATTTTCATAAAATTGTTAAAATAGCTCGAGAATATATCATACAACATCAAATTTATTAAATATTCTGTGATATTTTGTAAAAGTTTGTGCTTTACTGATTTTTTTTCAATTTTCACAGACTTTAGCAAAAATCGCATAGTTTGTGATTTACAAAAATCATTTTAAAAAACATTAAATAAATCGTATATAAAGTATATCATATATACTGTGATTTGATTGAAGTGCATAGCTTTATATTGACACTATTTCTTCAAGTTTTATAAGTTCTAAAAAATCTGAAAATGGGATCCGAACAAAGCTCTCAGAATAGTAATCAAAATGCCAATAGTGGAAAAACAAGGACGAATCAACTCAGACGTGGCAAAAGCGTCCCAAATCGTGAGAGAATGCCAGAAGATACTCCACCGAGATGTACCAGTCCTGGCGCCAGCATTTGCTCTGATTCTGATCTTCCATATATTTCTTATACAGTAAATCGACCTATTGGAGATTCACCAAAGATGACAAACAAACAGTCACAACTCTATAGGGGGAAGAGTATTGGAGCTGGAGAAATCTCAAGACGAAAAAACAGCCTAGGCACAACAAATCACAAGTAGGTATCACTGGATTATTATATAAGAAATATTGATTTTCAATTTAATTTCCAGTAAAACAAAAAATAAATATAAAAAAGATAGTAATACTCTAATCTTCAAGTTATATCAAATATTAAATAATTATTAATTTCTCATAATTTTATTTCTTCATATTTATAAATATACTTATAAATATATGTAAAAAAGTTCGTTTAATGTCATTTAAGTAGCAAGTAATATTTTATTAGTTGATAATATCTATCAAGTAGTTTAATACAAAAATCAAAATTTTCAAAATATTGTATTTTATACATAACTATATAGAATTTTATTAATTTCTTGTTAAAAGTCACAGGAAGATTAATATATCAGACAACAGGACACACAATATCGTAGTGGTGAAGCCAGCTCAAGCAGATCCTACAGCAGACAAAGATCCTGACATAGTAAAACTACAGAGTATCCCGATGTTTCTGCCGATTATGCGTGGCACATTGAACCTACCACCGGGTGTACGCGATCCAGAGGTCCTAGAGAGGCTTGATCCTGTCGGTTTGTTCAATCTGTGTGCACGTTATCAACATCATCTCAATACAAATGCGCAGATTACAGCAGCAGAGCAAGCTACTCTGTGTACCAGCATGGAAGTGGAATTTAACAAAGTACTGAATCTTGCTGTGGATCGACAAAAGAGATTTGCTAGATTTGCAGAGCAGATGAATAAGGTGCATGAGCTCAGTCGTCAGCTAACTAGATGTCACTCGCTTCTCAATCAAACTCTTGGAAGCCTTGAAACGCTCAACAATCTATTACCAGTAGAAGAGAGGCTCGAGCCCTTTGTTTGGACTACAGGTTAAATATATCCAAACTACGAGGAATTTTATCACTCCTATTTTTAGCAAGCCTGGATTCTATTAAATATTATGTCCTTCCACAAAGAAATTGTGATTAAGAAGTGCAAAGAATAGCTTTGGGACTGTCTAATTTCAAAATAAATTTCAATTGATTTCATCAGAAAAGTTTTAACTTCTACATTCAGCATTCACATTAATTATTAATAATAACACAAATATATAATAAAATCAATAAAATAAATTAAAAGAAAAAATCAAATATGTTTTATTGAAACACAATTTATTGCTTTTGTATTTTAAACATACCCTAGCAGCTTCTATTAGTCAATCGTTGAGACTTCAATTCTCTGTAGGCTGCAATAGCTTCAGTCTGTTGCTTCTCTAGTCTTCTTCTTTCTGTTTCAGGTAGGTTTTTCCTTTTTCCAGATCGATTATTCACTTTGGAAGAAAAATCCTCTTTGCAATCTTCTAATAATGAATTCAACAATAAATTCTTTGGCTTTCTACTTTCATTCATTTCTTTTAACTTGATTTTCAATCTAGGAGGTTCATGAGCAACTTCGCCAAAAACAATCTTGTCTTGTAACCTCTCAAATTCATCATAGTTTTTCAGTTTTTTTTCTTTCTTTGCACGTAGTTTCAATTTTTGCTTTTGATTTTTTGTCAAAGCAGAATCTGTCTTCTTTTTTCTATTAATATTCTTATGTTTAGTTCGTAATGTTTCTACATCATCTTTTTCATGTTTACGTTTTGTTATACCTTGAATTTTACCAGTGTTTGAATCCCGTTCAATCTGGACATCATATTTCTTTTCAAATGCTACTTCCTTGAGAAAATCATGTGTATCTTTAGATACCCTGTGCATAAATTGTTTACCAGATTCACCTGGTCGTTGTTGAAACACTGGTATAACCTTTTCTGGTTTTGCTTTTGGATGATGTAGTCTTTGATGCTGTAATCCTACACAGATAAGCGCATTTTTTTTCTTCTGTTTCTTCTTTAAGATGCCGTTATTGATCTTTGCAGCTTCCTTCAATTTAATGACGCGCTCCAGGCTCTTCGGGATTGCTTGCTCGTCTGCGTTTCTCGGCGCCGTATTCGTACACAACTCTAACCTAAAATCCGCTGTCGGTTCAGAATTATCATCTAAACTTTATTGCTTAAGTTCCAACTTTACTGACAACTCACTCCGCTAAACGCTTTACACGTTGCTTCTGAGGATCCTTGATACCTCGATGCTTCTTGCCCGGTATCTTGCGGCCCATGTTCACGTTTTATCGTTTTTATTTTCCGTTCTATTCTTCCGTTGCATCACTCCGCTTTTGCCTCGCGCTCACACGTGCGTGGCACGTAATAGATATAATCAGCTGTTTACAAGATCGTCCTCGCCCACTGAAATATAATAATACTGAAACGCGCACTGGCGCTAGTTTCGCGATCCGACAAAGAGACTCCTAAAGCCCGTATCAGACTAAAGATTGAGATTGCGATTGAATTGGGATTTAACCAATTAGAAGAAAGAAAACCAATCTCAAATTTAGTGAACTTTGTTTTGATTGGTCAAATTCCATTCCAAACTCAATCTCAATCTTTAGGCTGCGTTCCTTTTGGCGCTTACAGCGCTTATAAGCATCATTTGTCTTTGTTCAATATTTGATAAACAACAAGGATGAAATGATTTTGTGAGCGCTGTAAGCAGCCGTAAGCTAGAGAGCCTCTAATCAGAGTGGCGCCATACAGCTGCCACTTTTGATTGGTCCGCC